CTATTATTATTATTATTATTATTATTATTATTATTAATACTGTTATTATTATTCGTCTTCTCATCCACGCCTCGAGATGGTTGCTAACTTTACATGTTTTTTATCCTGTATATGGATAACATACCCGCACCTAACCATCATGGATTATACTAATTTGCAACGATTAATCCATCAAAAAAACACAGTGTATTAGTCCAGTTGCTTGCACAAACCATCAACAAATCTATATGCGCTGAACTCCGCTCTTCAATGTGTAGAAGAATAAAACCTTATCGCGCATCCCCTGAAATACCATCTCGCACCCCTTACATTAGGGATGCGAGCAACTCCGGTTGAATAACGCTGTTTTAATGAAAGGTCTGGGCGCACGCAGGCTGGCGTTTTCTGTGGTAGAAGGCAGATGCACCGAACAGTTATCTCTCAAAATGATACTTTGCTACCGTTTTATTGGCCTGGCGCCATTTTGCCAACAGATCGAATGCGAATTGAAACGAGTTAGCTGTAATCGCCTAGTGGCTCTGTTTCAGTCCGGAAGTTGCGTACGAGGTAAGTGAATTCGTTAAGACTAATTATATGCAGTTATCACACAGTCTTGGGTAATTTTTATCTGCACAGTCGGTTACGACTTTAGAGAGTTTTTTGAAATGCGTGAACCGAAAATTTTCAGTCGTTGCATCTGATTTCAGTGCAGCGATTATGTTATTATTGTGAGGCGTTCATTTTGGTCTTTATTTTAAATAATGAATGTTTTGACCGTTTAGTGAGTTTTGGCCAGGGTCAGGAGCGGAAATCCGCTTAAAATAAACTTCAGTGAGAACTGTGTTTTACAACTGGTTATTGATGTGTTTTTTAAGCATGCAAGCGATATTCATTTTATTTTGTGTTGCTGCGTGTTCGGTTACTGCCATCGAGTTAACATTCGAATTACCTGATAATGCGAATCAGTGCTTTTATGAGGACATGAAAGCTGGTATCGACAGTGTTATTGAATTCCAGGTTAGCATTTCCTAATTAAGCTTATTGATTGTGTTTGGTATTTTGGTGTTGTGTTTAATAGTGGTAATTAGTGTTGTTTGCAATTACTGCTGGTTTGCTTTGATAAACACTGCTTGATGTTATTTTCCTTAAGCTTGAGTTGCGGCAACTGTGCCATTACTCGTGATGCTTAACATTCATTTAATTAATTTTTAAATGAATCGACTGTTTCTTCTGTGAGTTATCTCGCAGTGTTTGCATCTCATTAAGGTGCTCTTTGAAGGTTGTAACTGGAGGGAAATATGATGTTGACATGAGTCTGGAAGATCCGAAAGGAAAAATACTCTACAAAGATGTCAAGAAACAATACGACAGTTACTCATGGAAGACTGCAATTGATGGAACTTACAAGGTTGAATAGGCATAACTTGCGCTTTACAAGTTATTTATCATTGTGACGCTACCTGAGTGAGAATGTGGGAAAGAACATGAGAAATATTCATGCACTCAATTTAGATTTTCGAAGATGCATTTAATTATAAAACAATGTTGTTTTCTTTGTTACATCAATAAAAATAATTTTGAGTTGGAAAAATTGAGATATTCTCAAACCGAATTGAATGGCACCTTTTGAAGTAGTGTGGTATTCTTAAAATCGGAATTGTACATAGTGACAAAAATGTACCGTTACCATTATTGCTTGAAAGGATTTGTAGTTTTCTTTCAAACCAATCTTTTCAGGCATGTTTTTCCAATGAATTTTCAACTTTCACACACAAAATTGTATATATGGATTGGCAAAAAGGGGACGAAGGTTAGCATTTGTTAACGTAATCAACGTTGATTACTATCAGCTTTAAGATGTTATTGTTCCTGATAGTGTGGTTTCATTTTTTTTTTGTTGTTGACCGATACTGTAATGGAAGTAACACTCTTGACATTACTATCTTCTGCTGTATAGATTAACTTTGATTACAGACAATCGTGTATCTTCTTGGTGTTTATATAGTGACCCATCATGCTAATTCAGTAACATTTTTGTTTCGCTGAAAGTATTATTTTGTCCAAGATAGATTCACTTGATTAACTGCAGTAATCGAAGTGCATTTAGGTCTGACGAAAACAACGCCACGTTTAGCAGCTATGACTCAGCTAGAGACATCTGCATCTAGCATTGGTGATCGCCTTCGTCTGATCGACGACTTTCAAACGCATCATCGCCTTCGTGAAGCAACCGGTCGTAAACGTGCTGAAGATCTCAACGAACGTGTCATGTTATGGTCTATGGGACAGACATGTGTTATCTTGCTCATTGGTATCACGCAGGTAAGCAAAATACCGATTATTCATCAGTTGTTGTCGTCATTTTAATTCACCTTGAGAGCGTCTTTGTCAAATGTTTAATTTTGCTGTTTCAATAGTTTTGAAGTAATTAACGAACTGTTTAATCACTATGTGCAGAGTGAGGAACGAAGTATTTCCGTTGACTATATCGTGTGATTAGTAGGCAATGATTTTGATATAGTTATGGCTATCTCTGGCAATTGATTTTATTTTGTCGTATGTCTTTAATTGGTTCCGATCATACGTTTAGGAGGAATGGTGCGAAACATTGTAGTAAGCAATCCGATCAAACTGTTCTGTAAATCGGTTTATTGTTTGTTTGTTTAAAAATTATGCATTCATTGTTGAACAAAGTGAGTGTTATTGATCAAATGGCACTTAAGGTTCTCTTGTTGCGTTCGTTTTTCACTGAGAAGCGGACAACGTTCTGAAATGGAGATGGCGCGACGTTTTCATAGCTCATCTGATGGTGTTGGTTGCATTTGTGCGCGTTGATCGTTTGTTGCACATCGACATGAGTCATTGGTGAGATTTCGTTGAACATGTTCCATCTTATCTGCCGCTCTTGTAGGTATCTGTTTCAGTTTGTTTGTGTATTGCTGAAAATGAGTTGTTCATCTGATATTGCTTAAAAACCATTCATCAACTGAATTCATTTATTTATGCACTTCCAAACTTAATCAAAAATTATTTCGGTAACCATCATTGTTTATTTTCAAGTAGTAATGATTCTATCGTCAAAGCACGTCTTATGGCAATGAACTTCTTTCCTAGAATTTAAGAGAATTGTTTAACTTTTCCAATCAGACATATCAACAGTTCAGCACCCATAATAATATAACGAGACGCCTTATTGCAAATACCGCTGAAGTCGTGATAAAAGTATGGCCTGTGGCTACAGTCATTTTGAATAATGGTTCAGTCATGATCAGAATTGATGTCTCTCTTCTAATTCTTGTTCCAAAAAGCATTCTGTCGTCAGAATTTGTATATTCTATTGTTTACGATGTAATTTATTGTCAAGTATTGTGTTCCTTCTCCCCTTAACGAAGTCTGTTTTAAATCTACCGTTGTTTTCTTTGTTTCTTTTCGCAGTAAAAAATGCGCTGCAAAATTCTTCGGTATTTTATATCCATCAATTGCATTGTTGTTCAATGGATAGGTCTTCTGAACGCATTGATGTCGTTGTTTAAAAGCGCTGCGCAAAACAACATTCACACTAGTGTTATTTAAATTCAGTACTAGTTGGATTGCATTATATTTTTCACCTCTTTTGGTGAAGTTGTTATAATCTGATTCAAAGCTGAGGATATTATGTTTGCAATTCATTGTTTCCAGTTTAGAGCTGAGGGTATTAATTTGCAATGGTAATGAATGAGCTTTAGTTATAACATGGGAAATGTATGCAGGTACTGCAGAAGCTGAACACTCATCTTTTGAAGCGCACTCGTTGACATAAAAACGATTTGTTATTTTGCGTTAATCCAATTACGGTCTATGAATTTGGTTGAACGAGTTGTTTGGCTATGAAATATTTGAAGTATTGTTGTTTTACAGTGATGAAATTCTATGAAATGAGCTCACTAAAACTAAAATTCAGTCACATTTAATGTTGCGAAATATTATCTAAAGCGGATAGGAGGAGAATTTTGCCAAAATAACTCGTGAAGTGAATCCGCTTCAGGTTTCCTCCAAGCTCGTCAAACTTTATTTTGATTTTTATACGACTTTTCCGTAAGTTATGAAAGAATTGGAGGTCAGAATTATAACGTATGGAATAGATCCAAGTAAAATAAAGTAGTCTGATTTGGTCCCATAAATTTACTTCTTATCCACGCCGAGTATCAATTGTAAAAGAATGCTTTGCGCACCTTTCCACAAACGATAATCTAACGTTTTGATGATGAAAATGGTCATAATCTATGATTAAAATGTTTCGTTGATTTGTATTGTTGTTGTTCGATTGTTCTGTGATAGAATTTTTCGTATTCAATAAACCAATTTTGCATTTTCAGTTGAACAGTTGGTAATGTAGCACTGAGTGTTGTTCTTTTCAAATGCATTCTATAAGTGATAATCAGCCAAAAACAACTAAAGTTTGGGAATGTTTTTATTGGTAATAGCAGTGTCTCTCTAGGTAGTAAACGTTCTATGCGTGAGCCCAAGATCACTGTAAAGGTATGTCTTATGGGATTATCGATATGAATGGATCGAAATTTCGTGATCAGTTTCAAATTTGACCAATATTTTTAAACGATAAGCTTCTCAAGATTCATGATCGGATTTCGGTGATCTCGTGACCGATACCACAATCATACAAAAAAGTCGTTTATCGCTAAAGTGAAGAATTGAACTCACCTCTATAAAACGTACATAATAACAGTAAAGGTGTACTGGTTGCAGGTGATCCAGCACAAACTGATGCATGGAGCGCAGCAGCTAAACAGTAAAGTAATTATAGAAGCGTATTTCTTGAGCTATCTGAACTCTTTAAGCACCCCATGTAATGGTGCTAAAATAGTCTTTATGCTACTTTCACCTTGACAAATTTACACTGAGACAAGTTTGCGAAGAATTTCAAAAAATTTTGTTTCGTTATTAACTTTCTGTAAAATCGAGGATACAAAGGGATTCGCTTGAATAAAATTTCGAATTATGATTAAGATTCGTGTCACGATTTCAATCGTGTACGCTATGAGCTTTGTGTAATGTATAGAAGTGCATGACGTTGATGTTCAGTTAAACAATTTTTTTCACTTCTGGCAAGGTTATTCCTCAAAAGTTCTTGTTCAAAGTTAACCGATAATAAGGAGCACCTGATCAAATTGCTGATTTTTGGCTGACTCGATTTTGACGATAATATTTGAAAGCTGAAATGGAATGTAGTGCACGTATGGTTGCATCACTGAATAAAAATGCTCATAGAACTGTGAATCCGCTTTGAAGACTACACTGTCACCAGCCAGTAGGAACGGTAGTCGATAGGCAGCAACCGTACCGTCGATGCTCAGAACGTAACGGTGCTGAAATAGTCTTTCATTTTGATTCGAAAATAGATAACAAACACCATATGAGTTCTAGGTTACTCTTGTGAATTGTGGAGACCAGATGAATAAATCGGAAAATATTGATTGCTCACAGCTTTAATGATCACTCCGGCTCTTTGTGATTATTTGAACTGGAAGGTTGTGGAAGCGATAGTAAAGCATTTACCAACGAATTCATAGGGTCTCTCATTCATCGATTCATTCAAAAGTAGAGGCAATAATTCCACCCAAAAATATTCGTCTGTATGCACAAATTCCCTAAGCAACTATCATTTTGTCTTAAAATTTAATTTGTTTCAATTAGTTCAGAGTATTCATTCGAAATTCGTTAATCCTTCGATAGTGAGATTCTTGAATTCACCTGAAAGAATTCAGAGAATGGTTTCTGTTTCACGTGTGGTGTATAATGAGATTCGTTGAAAAAGAAATATCTCGTGATACCAGCATCGATTAAATCTGGGCGCTTCTGTGAGAGCATCGCTATCTCTAATCGTAGCTGAAAGTTCTAACCTTAAAAAGAATTGTCTTATCAAAATATCGCATGCAAATAATACAATCGCAAATGAACATGCTCACAATCAGATATAATGCAGAGCACATGCAACCAGCGAAACAGACGTGGTTCTCTCATTTATCGATTCAATTTCGTATAAAAAATGCGAACATCTAAAAATCAAGCAACTTAAAACACATTTCAAATACGCGATTAAGACAAAACCTTGGATGAGTCACGACCCCTAAATACAGCAGTCTGTTTCTTTTGATGCCATGGCCAGTGTGTTTCACCCTTAGCGGTGTGAATGTCCAGTGTTGTTGTGTACATTGAATCAATCACCGACTTCATTAATTCATAAGTTGGTAATACGATATCGCTTGTTTCTGCATACAACTAATCAATTTTATCTCTTGATTTGAACTTGGTTTTAATCGTCCCCAAAGATGACAAAATTCTTCTGTGAATGAACTTTTAAATTTCATCACTTGCACGCATTTGTGACGACGTTTTTTTACCGATCAGTGCATGTGCAATTCGGGAGGAACAGTTAAAGAAACGCGGCACTAGCATACAGAAAAAGCTGTGCTGATGACGATAGTAATAATAACAAGAAAAAAATAGTAATGATTGATAACAATGATGATAATACAATATTAAGGATTATAATAATCTGAACAAGGCAAACGAAAGTAGACGTGATGAGAATTCGAAGTAGAACTATGCAAAAAATGACCAACCATTTGAGCCACACCAACTGGCAACAGCAATTGCATTCGACTGCTTTTGTTCGAGTGGCCAATCGCCCAAATTGAAGATAAATTCTGTATTTGGCAGATACATTTTACGCATTATTGATGTTAGGATCTCATCCACAAATATTCGAAAACCCGAATATTCACCGTAGCATTGTCGATACAACTGAAGAGAGAGCTAATTAAGGAGACATAATGTTTGATGCGAACTGTTCAGTCCGTTCTCTGTTGGCAGCAATAGTTGCATAACGATAGAAATGAGAAACGATTCAGAATATGTTTTTCGCTCTAAACAAATTTGCATTTATTGTCAGTGGATCAACGAACGTTTGAATGGTACTTCATGACCGTTTGATTTCAAAGAATGATTTGTAATAGCACTTTCTTGATTATTGATGATTTGGTAATGACAAAGTGCAATACTATATCGCTTATCGGGAGATGCCCATTTTTGAATAGCCGTATTGAGAAGCTGCTTGAAGTCAATTATTTGCCATTGTTTCAAATCGTTGTCTAGTTGTTCATAACTATACTCATTACATCTCGCCAATCGCATCCACTTTTTAGAACTCAGTTCTGGGCAGTCACAGAACTCCGAATAGAGGAGTGATTTGTTCTCTGAAACAAAGTAATCCAATGTTTCGTGGCAATGTTTCTCGAAGTTGATTTCGATGAAGTAACACCATATACATACTAAGAAGCAACAACAGTCATAACAATTGATTACCCTTCTCAACAATTATTGGAGAACCACAAATAAGCGTTCCGTTGGGTGAACGAATGTTTATGTTAATCGAGCTGCATGAAGACCAAAGACGAACTCGAAAAACATACGAACCGTCAAAGTTGTCAATTTGTTCCCATCTAAATGTAACTGGTCGATGAACTGTTTCTGATGTTTTCTTCAGTTATGAATCACTGAGAAAACGTAATCGAAATTTGATTCAAATATTGCAGAAATACTAAGTAATCTTGGTATTTGAAGCACCTATAACAGGCAATATAAATCTCATTGTCTTTTTCTATTCATTTTCAAGACGAATAAAAGCAGATAGTTGTACTTGCCACCGAAGCGTCCATTCAAAGCTTATGAATCAATTGCATGGCAGCAGCTGAACACCATTCATGATCATGCAATTGCAAAAAAAAGAGATAAATCATCGTCTAATCCCTTACTTCGATGAAAGTAATAATCATTTAATTGAATCCCATGATATCACGATTATCATGCTGTCAATGAAAAAAAACCATTCCCATCCTATTATTTAGTGAAATCATAGATGAATTTTGGAGAAATATTGAATTGTCTGATATTAACTGAACGTAGGGATAACAAGCGTAAAGATGATAACACCATATATATTTGGTAGCATCTGCTGCAACTGTCGATGCATTAAGTATCATTAGAATGGAAAAGTAAAAGAGCGCATAAATTTGGAATGCGATCGAGAGCGTTTAGAGCAAAGATTGATTGCTCTAAAACTTTCAATGGAATGATTACATGACTTACTTTAACTTGCATTCAGTTTTCAATGAGATATCGAGTTTACCTCTCGAAGCAGTTACGTTCACACCATTATCACGCAATTGAATATGCAAATATCGTACAGGTAAATCAATTGAAAGAGCACCAAAACATATTGCATGCTCGTCGGACACAGTTGATATCGTTGCAGTTGTTTCTATTGGAATCCACAACGTGTAAATAAAAAATGTGATTAGCATACTAGCTTATCATACCAGCATTATCAGTAAATAATTACAGCACACTCACTGCAATCGATTTGTCAACTGCTTTCGACACAAATTGTTTTTATAGTTTTACTCAAAAAATTCATCGCATTTGTAGTTTGTTGTTTCCATCGAACTCATTCGCTAGAATTGGTCAAAACATTTTGTAATTATTCAAGAAAAACAACTAAAATGGCTTAGTGACTGTAAAATGTTGTGACCTGAATTTCACTAATAACATAATGATGCATAACGAATAAAATTTTAAGATGGATCATGGATAAAAATTGGACGGAAAATTAAATTGTAGCAACAAGGCTGCAATCTCGTAGCGCCTAGTGGTTCTATGTAAAATTCGTTTCCATTTCTGAATTAGCATGCAAAAATCATCAGAATTTGACGAAAAAAAAGAGCCGACTATTTTTATAATCAATTTTACGATGCTGTTATTTAGAGAGGGGATGCAATTTCCAAATGAATAATTATTCGAAAACTGTCATTAAAAAGAAACGATGTGATAGACGACATTAAAATTCAACGACCGTGATAAATAAATTCACAATAAACAAACGAAATGATTTGATTTCTTCTCGAATGACAGCATTGTTAGCGTTGTGAACGTCTGATGCAAGTTTCGTTCATTCCGTTGCAATAATATTGTATATTACAAACAAAGTTTAACGCATACTCATTCAAATATCAATCATTGAGGCTTATAAAGTTATAAACAAAAATATTTGAATGCAATCTAGGGTGAACCAAAACTGAGTGCTTGTTGGAATTTTTGAATAGTAAACAAATTAAGAATTACTGACATAGTAAGTAGTTTTCAGATGGATTCAATTCAGTTTTCCAAATAACTGTTGTACGCAAAGCATAGATGAAGCACAGTATGTTCTCCAAGTAAGAGAGGTTACTTCAAATTTCCTGCAAGCACTCCGTAATTCTTCAAACAATGCCGAACAGCTCACTGATAAAGAAACTGCTCAAAGCAGTTGCTATAAGCCAAACACTTTGCATCCTGATGAACTTATCATCTCGTTTTCTTTTCCTTCCTTCCACTAAACCCTGTCCAAACAACAGTATAATAGCTCACATTCAACTTCTCATCTTTTCACATTCAGAAAGAATAATTTGTTAGAAACTTTGATTGATCACGAATCGAAACAGAGCAAAAATATATTTTAAATTGTTTCTCATTTACTTGTCTGAAAACAATTTATTTTTTTCCAACTTTCAATGAGATATCGTACAGCGATTCATGAAATCAAATACTTTTTCTCAGAGTCGGGATTTTCTTGAAGAGGAATTTTTGGAAATTCCGTCGAGCAATTTCATTAGCAATCGACGAGATTATAGCAAAAAGAATTGAGAACCACAGCTGCAATATTCAACTTCAATAATGTTCAGGATTTGAAGAGGTGATTCATTTCTTTGATTTCACTTCTCACACATGCACCAATCTGAATAAGTGTATTCAAGTTCTGCTAGCTGATATATAGTTTGTATTGCTGAAACGATTTCCCCAAACATTTACTTTCGAGCGGGTGAACACACACACCATAAGTATCTTTGCTGTTGGAGCAATATTCAGTTTCATCTACATGAAATTAACTATATTATCGGGACTACTGTTAAGCATTATCCACTGGCAACATCTACACATTTGTCATTGTAGGAAATCTACTGTATTCGATGACGGTAGCGAATCTGTTCTATCCATGGATATGACGAAATAATTGTGCTGCTAAACACAACTGAGCATACAGTTAGCTTGAAAATGGTGCTCTTGTTATGCCCATAGTAATGTCATAATTGGTCAACATAAAAAGCAACACTGATGTATTTGGCCGTGTATTGAAGACGCTCAATTACATAGTGTACCTTCAGGAGTCTAGGTGTAACCGTGGAACTGATCGTTATCTACCGACAACGCGTATATTTTCATTGTAATGAAGAATCTGCTGAATCCAACGCCGCATAGGAGCATGGTGTTATCGGAATTGAAGTGATAATGTAGTGTTACGGAATCTACAATGAACTTAAGCCATTCGAGGCTCGCAAATTGCATTAATTAAGAACAACAAAATTCATTCTGGAGTACTCAGAAGCATTGCTTATGAGTATTCAGTTACTTTTAATCAATCGATTCTTTCAGAAAGTTTTCATTCCTCAATTTATACATCAATTCCTTCCATATTTTCAATAAACCTTTCTTCTCACCTCTCATCTTTTATATAAATATATTAATATTCAGTTGTAACTTTAAATCCATTTGATTCTTCTTCCTTTTCTTTTTAGAATTGTATTTTAAGCATTGTGTGTCACATTCCACCAGTTATGACATTCAGTTCTTAGTTGAATCCTCGATAATGGTTTAATAAATCGAAACATTCGAGGTCATTCGATATATTCTTAATATCAGTGTTTAAACTGTTCACATACTTCGAAACATCACGGTCGCATCCAAATATCACTACCAGAGATGGGCGATAGCGCGCTATTCGCTAAGCGAAACAGCGCAATAACTACACCGCTATAGCTATTCCGCTACTTCGCTAGTTAGCGAATAGCGCGATATTGCCCACCTCTGATTCATTAGCATATTACTTACTATTGCCGTTGTTATTGCACGATTATTACTATTGTCATTGTCACCCTCATTACTACTATTACTCCTCATTAACAATATATTAGCATTACCATTGTTTCATAATTATCGACACGATTTTCAATTCCTTTACGTCTGCACCTTTTTGACTGTTTCATCTTAATACCGCACCTATTAATAACCAGCGTTGTTCGCATCATGTTTGATTCGTTCTCATCCCAAACTTCTCCAAAAACTTGCTCGTCGATATCATGAGATCTCATTTCCACTGCTCAGTGATAACCATTTATTGTGCCGTGATTCAGTACCTTACTGATGGTATTATTGCCGAAACGTCAGTTATATGTCTAAATAAACTATACTGTTGCTATTATTATTTGTTAACTGCTTTTTGCTGCCCGTCGACAAAAAACCTCGCGTTGACTGTGACAAAAAACACGCTTGAAAGAAGAAGGAATCTTGCGTAAAATACTCACATCAGGTAACTACTGTTGGAATACGAGAAGATAAAACGCATCCGCATAAAGGTTCTAGAAGTTTGTCATGAGGATGCTGATCGATTTGTTTAGGTAAGATTTGTCGTTATCAGAAGCTTTCGAAATGAGCTTTTCAAACCACTGTTATTATTGTTTGTATTGGACCGTTCGATAAGGAACACCGACTTGCGATATCTGCACTGCACACGTTTGAAGGCAAGTAAACAAACCTCACCTACAAGCGTATCTCAGTCCAAGCCTGCATTTCACAGTGCAAATAACAAAAGTGTAACGCTTCATAGCGTGAATGCAAATGTTTCGATGTCAGAAACACAGAGGAGGTGGCAACTTATCCGACTGCCTCGAGTGAATGCACTATTTGAATTAGCATTTGAGTGTTGTAGCACGACAAAATGTGCACACCAATTTATGGCTTGCAAAACTCATATGGTTAAGTAAAAAGGGTGACGCATATTTAACTGCCTACCGAGTTTTATCCTTACACTGTAATTATGCTGCTGTTTGACTCTGTGCGGTTTGTTTCGGTTTGATTTGAGCAATGGTGACGCATTTTACGTAAATTAGGTGTTTTTTGTGTTATTTGATGTTGTTTTACTTTATTTTATTTTTGAAAAAATTCATTTATGATACATTGACACTTCGGAATAAGTCCTTAACTCAACATCATTCTGAATAATGTATCCCGACATTCGACAATCATTTTCTTCAGGTTGGAGATATCATACGGTGATAATGTTGTAGTTAACGCATTCAGTAGAAGAGGTCAGCTTATTTACCGATCCACCTCAGTTCGCAATGAAGCTTGAGCTGTAAGAAGGCTCGTCCGGAGTTCGGGCGGTTGCTTGCAGCATCGCCCCCTTTCATAGACATATTTTACCGCAAAGATCATCTATAAGAATGCGAAAAAAAAAATACTCTATTGGTATCATGTGCAACGAGAGCTGCTTCAGTGTCTGCTGATTTTATCTGTGCGCTATGTGAGACCCCATCACAACAAATGAAAACTATATGGTTACCTGAAGCCGTTCTAATGAACCATGAATAATGTTTCGAGTGAGGAAATTCGTGAATGTAACGGATAAAAGCAAGAATGGTGTATTGCTTCAACTGAACGTATATTCAGAAAGAGCCTTTGAAACCTCAATTCACTGCACCCTCTCAAAACAGCAACCAATAGAAACATCTTCAGTAATCCTTAATTACTTAACTAAGTTCAGTGCTTTCTCATGTCACCTAGGTGTTGTGCGTGACTGCATGAAAACAATTGAAAACTACTCAGTGTAAATTTAGGAAATAATAGTATATCACAGCAAGCGTTTTGTAATAAGCGTACAAAATGATGAACATGCTTTCGCATTGCTCAAATCGAGCCGAGAGAACTATGGGGGTTAAATACCCGGACACTGCGCCTTAAGGGGACTATTGGTCGAGAATTGATTATCCTAGGACCCAAATGAAGACACTCGGGCCAATTTTGCCGTCACTTAATAAAATAAGACTCAGGCTCGAACTGAGACCTACCCTCAGGCTCATGCTCAAGCCCCGGTTAAGGATTAACTTTGCAACTAGGCTTATTCACCAGCGTTTTTCCTCTTAAAATTCACATCTAAGAGGTTTTCCTGTATTGCTCGTCTTCTCATGGAACGTCTTAGTACTTCTAAATTAGCAAGTTAATGATTATGATAGGTGTTTGTTTTTTCTTCTGAAATGCTTGATGGTGGACTGTTCTTAATTACAGTTGTTTATATCCATTGTTTTAAATTGTGGTGTGATTCTTTTTATACTTTTCTGATTTCATGACTGCTAGCATTTTTACGTTAGGAGTTTATTATCAACAGTTTCGGATGTTTTTTTGGTCCTTTTAGCTGATTTTTGCAATCTTATTATGTTTCAAGCACCAAATGCAGTCCAAAAAATTGGAAACATCCGACGCCTTAATTTGACGATCTCGCATATTTTTGCAATATTCCACTTTGAAATTCGAGTTTTTAGTGAACCATCACTGAAGTTCATTAACGGTGTAACCTCACAACGATGGGGGAGGAACTGCGATATTGTTACAATAAAGGATGTGGACAAAAGTTCAACCCAAAAGAAAATAATGCAGGTATTTCCGCATTTTTTCATTCCGTCACCAGATGACTTTAATAAACATCTATGGTCTTCAGTTCCTTCGAGGAACTATTATAATCGTGAAACCTTGGTGAAAATTGTCTTCAGTTGTAAATTCGTCAACAGCATGCATGAAGACGATCTTATATGTGATATTTCGCTTATAGATTCCTGTGTGTATCATCCGGGTCCAGCATATTTTCATGACGCGTATAAAATATGGAATTGTTGCAATAAGAAAAGCACAGATTTCGGTACTTGGTTAAGCTTCAAGGGCTGTACTCGAGGTAAACACAACGCCGAAAAGCCTGCTGAAGATACGAAACCGATTAAAACGCAAACCCAAATTCGACCGGAAGCACCCGAAGAGGTCGATTGTAGCCGTTTACGTTTTCTGTAAACTCGTTATACGGAGTAGAAAAAGTCCCGTATTTCAACTGTCTTTCGAGTTGCCTCTGTTTGTTGTAATCTAAGGAATTTGAATAAAATATTGCATGATAACACTCATAATAAGCATTCTCTAATTGTCACCATCAGTCTTCGCATCATTCTCGTCTCATCGTCATATGTATCCACTTAAATTTTGTTTTTTCTTACTAATTCCATCGTGTTCCAGGTAACTTTTTTGCTTTCAGGTAATTGTTTGGAATGGCTTGAATCAGCCAGCAGCTCGTGATGAAAAACCTCGAAAAATGGCTACGATAACACTTGAAGCAACAGAAGCTGCGCTTAAAGCCATCGAAGCGCATAGGACGTTGGATGAAGGTGACGGATGTAATTTACAATTGGGAATGTCTTGTAATAATGCCGGGTGTAACAAGGTAAATGAGTCGTTTTCATCTTTGATATTCTTCAAAGAATCTATCTCTTGGGATTGAGACTATAAATCAGTTTCGCTTGAAACTTAACCTACATATATTATCTGTTTGGTGCGATTGAAGTTACAAAAGAGGTTTTTTTTCCAATGTGCCTGAACTGCATTGCTTAGCGTTCCAAAATTTTTCTCTTTGTCGGATGCTTTTTTTCTGTCAGCATATTTCAACAGCCTACTATATACATTTTCATTCTAGCTACTCTTCCAAATATTTACGATATATTCTCGTTTCATTGTTTACATTGGTTCCTCATTGAATATTCTTCGCATGACACCTCATAAAACATTCTCTCATGTTTCATTAGTTCAGCATTGCCATTATTAATATTGATCCTATTATACAGGTGTACCAAGGAGAAGAAAGCAACAAGGAGGTGTGTGTTTACCACCCGGGAACAGCTGTTTTTCACGAAGGGATGAAATATTGGTCTTGTTGTCAGAAGAAAACTTCTGATTTCAGCACCTTTCTCGACCAAAAAGGCTGCACTAAAGGGATGCACTGCTGGTTAAAAGTTGGTCATTTTTCCTATTTTGATGTTTTGATCATAGTTTGTAATTAGATGAACTGTGTGAGCAACGTATGAACAAATCTGATTCAGCAAACACTTGAGTAATCGCGAAAAAAAATGAATATGTGGTGTTGATTGCTGTGCTGAATAGTAATAATTTTATTTGTAGCACAGATCGAATGGATAATAAGCTGAACAGATTTACAGCATGAACGCGTTGACAAGATAAGAGAAGATTGGTTCTGTCGTGGTGGTTATATACACTTGAATATCTATTGCAAAGGTTCGTTGCCAGACAAGTGTTGCGTTCAAAGTGACGGCCTTGTTCTCCACGCCAAAGTCGTGCATGGATTCGGTACTAAAGAAACTGATCTCAATTATGAGCTATTTGGAGAAATTGACGTACCGAACTGTAAGGTAAATGCTTTTCAATGCTCAGACAGATCGTCTTTTGTTGTCTCACATTCATTGAATTCACTCGATTTTAAACAGTCGCTCAGAAGCACCACTTGTATGATCCAGTGAGTGGTACGTAATCTAGATAACTGCAGGTGATAGTAGGTGAACGTAAACTGGAGATGGTTCTCAAGAAAGTGGGTGTGGAAGGTTGGCCTCGTCTCACCTACGAGTCGCCGTCGCAAACATCTGAACAATGCTGAAGTTGAATTCCCCCTTGAAAATGCTCTATTTCGTAATCCCGGTGTTTCCACAAAGTGTATCGTAACAAAACGTTTACATAAGATTTCTTAACTAATTGTGGAAGTGATGTTTTGAATTCTTAATATATGAATAAATCTCGAGTGCGTTTAAATTGTATGTGGTATTTGATTTAAAAAAGTTGATATAAAAACATCATGTCGTTCTGGCGACTGCATTATGAAAAATATGATGAGGACTTTAATATCTGGCCGATGCGTTCTTGCCACAGATGCACAAAGTAATGAACAACGCATACAATAAAGAGGATTTATTCGCATCAAGATCCACTTCTGGTGAGAAAAACAAGTTCATTCAAATAACAATATCAATAATAAACTGTCAACCTTTGCAACAACAAATACAACAATTAACGTCAACAAAACAAACAACAACGAATTATTCAAGCAACAATCGACCCATATTCTTCATTCTTCATCCTCTTCTTCCTGCTTAACCTGTAAAAATACTTTACAATAAACCGCTTCACGCCAACAAGTCTACTCTATCAACAAATGTCTCCTGAAACAACCTGTTCGATAGATTGCCATAAAATATTTTCTATGAGTGTTATTCTGTTTATTGGGATCATTCCATACATTTCAGATTTAGTCATTACAGAAAATATTCATCTACCCACCTGCTAAACTATAACTCCTAAATCCCGATTCTAGTGGAACTTGAATGCGCAAAAACAATATACAATGGAGTCTTTGAATTTATTTCAAGCGCAATTACTCGTCAATGTAATCAAGAAAATTGAATTTTCCGTGAACACCTTTATTCCAGCATTTAGAAACAACAATTGAAAAACCCACCTTTTTCTTTTTTTTCTTATGTTTTTCCTTGGGCGTCGATATTTCCTCTGTGACCGTTTCAGCTTGTTCAACATCTTCAGCCTTGACCTTCTTCTTTTTCTTGTGACTTTGCTCTGTTTCGTCAACTTCTTCCTTTACCTTCTTCGCTTGCGTACCTTCACTAGATTTATTCGCCTCATCATCCTCTTCATCTCCGAAAGCTTTTCTCTTTCGTTGCATCTTTATCGTCGAATCCGCAGCTGTATCATAATCCAGTACCTCGCTAAAATTACGTTTTTTGCTTCGTGAAATTGAAAAACCATGATCGACTAACTTTTATTTATGATAATACAAAAGAAATACGCACTCTGTATCTTACTACCATAAACATTTTGGTTCAAATTACTGAAGGCAGAATGCTCACACAAACTTAGTTCGTTCCGCCAAAAATCCTCTAAAATAATGACATTCATTCATAACACAAAAAAGGATAAACGAAATTAAGTAACAATCATCACTGAAGCACCTCTTGAAACGATATGGCTCGTGTGCACTAGACACTCCCGAAATTCTTTTGGCACCACGTTCTTGTTCACTTCTTATTACTGTTTCCAAATATGCACGGCATTCAATACCCATCTGATTACCTTGTGACTCATCAGCTAATGCATCGATTCGAGTCGCCAACGATACTTTAGCGGCTAATTTTCGCGCTAGCTACAAGATTGGAGCATTGATCATTAAAATGATTCATGTAAAGACCACTAAAAAGCACTAAAATTGTACGATTATCCAGTATTCGACTGAATGCTTTCAAATGCACAGAGTGTGAACGTCTATTAAATGGTTTCCAGGTGATAAGATGAACAGTTCATTTACCTTGCCCTTAGTTTTCGTGCTGGCCTGACCGATAAGCTGAGCGTGGTAGATGATACCATATTTAGGTGTGTCTCGTTTGGTTTTAAGAGCACGGAACAATGCCTTTTCGGCGCCTAAAATCTGTACCGTTGATGCAGGATATTTGGCTAGATTTATCAATGAACCAGCATGTGAGATCAGTCTTGCGCCAACTAGTTCACCCAACAACACTGTCAAATTCGGTGCTAGTGCAGCCATTCGATTCTTCAAATATTCAGCTAATTGTGTACGATATGCGCCCATTGCAAGTATCTGAAAAATAAAAACACTCATCAATATTTTACGATATTACTTGAACGGGTAAACAAATCGATAAGTGATCAACGAACATCTCAAAGTACAACACCAAAAAACTACCTGATCACAAAGTAGCCTTATGTTTGCAAGATCTGAATCAGAAATATCGCAGCCAGCACTAATTTCAGCTTCATCCTTAACACGTGCCTCCAATTCTTCGGGCAGAATACTCGACAGATCTGTCTTCTCGGCGTCGTGTCTCATGCCAATTTTCTGCACTACCTTAAATTTATAAACCTCTCAATCCAGTTCAATGAATCTTTAAGCATCTCAAATAACCGAAGGCTCATGATACTACACAACCATTTCCAAAACATTTCACGTGGAAATATCCAGTGAACCATACACTCCATAATCACTTGTTGCACTTTCCACAGTCCAGAAAAAAATGATGAAATGACATTCAATTTTTTTGAAATTACAAAAAAACAAGCCTTCGCATATGCCTGATGATCTTGAACAATTTTGCCAAGTTCAGGGAAGTGCCAACCGTACCATTCACGGCACCTAAAATATTTGGCATGATACGCTTTCCTTAACTGGCTCAGAGCTCACCAACTATGTCATGCAAATAATATGAACGAATATATTTATATCAACAACAGCAGATAACGAATGATCAAATAACACACTGCTAACAAGATGCATTCGCATCATAATTTGAACTTTTTTGGCCATAACAAATTAAGGGAGGAAAAAATTGGTCAAGTTCAAAAGATATGGTATCGTTCGTACTTCATGAATAAAATTGAATATGGATACTATTCGACACTGCTTTTCAAAAATTTCCTAGATGAAGTGGTTCGGTTCGCTTTAGAATGAATATCTTTTTAAAAAACAAGAATAATGAATAAGCCATTCACAGCCTACTAATAAACCTCATAATATAATTGTTCAGTTCCTTATCGATATCGTCGAGCAAAGAAACTGCTTGAACAATCATTGTATCGATTTTGTCTGGATCGAATTTCACCTTCAATACAAACTTTCGCTTAATCATAATCATTGCAACTGGAAGAGTAAGCGAACGGATAAAAAGGGAGAGCGTCAGCTACCTTATATCTGCCAAGTGAATGAGCGAGTGCAAGATTCATAGCAGACATTTCTTGTTTATGCTCCCCAAGAAGACTATCCAAATGAGCACGAATACCACGCATTAATTCTGCAGTCGCCGAATTCGAAACACATTTCAAATCCAGTTTTTCCTCAAATGAACGACAATAAATTTGTAAGAAAATGAAGCAGTCGTAGGAAAAAATGAAAACAAAGTGAGTGAACCGTCGTGTAGAAAAATGCTTTAAGAAACTCCACAGGACTATAACAAAGCAATCCTTTTAGCTCCCTATAAAGTTGACTAATCGATTTTTCAACACGTTTCATAAATCCAAAACATCGACTGACGTGTGGTGTAGCAAGATACAATTATTATCTATCGTTACCTTGATAATACTGCCTAATTTTGTATCACCCACAGCGAGATTTTCACTCTGGTCTACTTTGCCTTTCAGAACCTTCTTAAGTGTTTTTCCAAGTTTCCCGTCACTGATATGATTCACGCAGTCTAGTGCTTCACTCGTATCTTTGAACTTCTTGAATGAAATGAGCTTGAGACTGAAAGAAGAAACTTTAATGAATACAGCGTTCAGATTGCACTAACGTACAGAGAGTCTGCATCGTTGGTTATTCCTCTAACGAAAGTGGGAATGAATCGTTTCTTGAACGAAGTTGGTTTCGGTATGAGAACTAAACGACAAATATTCCACGTGGCGACCTCATGAGCACGATGAGACAAACAAGATCATGATAACCGTCCAAAAACGCATTAAACAAACCATTGCTGTGCTTTCTCCGCTGTCGACAACTCATCCCATATGTTATCCACATTCTTCAGCTTGTTCTCATCCAATAACTGGAATAATTTCGGATTGATCCTTCGCAACGGATGGATTCAGAGGTTCAGCAATTAAAGAGTTTCGGATAAATGAGACAAAAAACAGCAAAAAATAAATGAACATATTTATTTTGCCAGCTGAAGTTCAACCGTTGAAGAAGACTACGACTACTTCAAATGTTCGAATAAAAGCAGCAACACTTCTCAATGTTTTCACTTCATGTCTGATATCAAGAAGATCATTCATATACCTTAAAAATCGCATAACCCGCCGATGTTTCGAACAAAACCAACATAGCTAAGCGCAACCTGAAACTAAACTTGATCATGATTACAAGGCCGAACAGATCTTCAGATTATGAAAACCTTGGTTGTTAGGAAATTTAACAATTATCATCTCAAGCGCTCAGTCATTTCAGGACACCTGTGACACTATAGTGCCCTAAAACTATATGTGAGATGATGGAACCTTCGATATAAGATCGCTTTCTGAAGATATTAATGACTGCTTCAGACATATGAATGAAATTGTGCACTAGATAATTCCTTCAAAAAGAAGAGTATATAACACGCAACGGCAAAATAGGTATGCAAAGGGTAATACGCAAAATTAGAGCCACACGCACGACTTGTGTTGCGTTCAACCATTTACAGAAAGTTTGCGATAGTAATGTTAAGAGAGAAAATATAAGAATAAAAAACATTGATACTGGCGCAAATATCTTAGGAAAAAACATCATGGCATCACTCAACCTACAGTTCATTTCTGAACACAAGTGGACACAAATATCAAAGTTCCCACTTCGTTGATTCTTGACAAGAATGAATTGCCTGTCTAAGAACGCCAACAATACCAATAGGAGGAACTTATAATGTGGCATATCTACCAAAGTTACATGTGAGTTGCATTTATGAAATAAAGAATAGCAGTACAAAGCTCATCGAGAAAGCGAAGAGCCATACAAAATTATTATTAAGGAAGTCAGTTTCAAAAGGGCCAGAGCTTGTGCTTCAAGAGGATGCAATGCAAAAAATTCTTTTCTTTCTCACTCGTGCTAAATGTCCTCCTCTTAATTGGGCAAAAATGTTTCATGGGCCGTTGCTGAAAAGCTAAAAATGCAACTCTGTCATTGCATACGTACCTGTGCAATTCATGGAATAGTTAAAAAGTGCATGCATTTGGTCTGTATTTGTGGTTTTCAAGACTATGGTATTGCATGAAAATTCATTACAGCACTTGCTCAGCTATTATCAGAACAGATAAATTTATGAGCGAAAATCTCTAATTCAACAGCTACAAATTTGCTTCCACCCAAATGGTTCCGAAACTGTAGAGGAATGGTGATACATAATTTCAACCATCTATGAGCGCTTAATCTACAAAGTACAAATAGTTTTTGTAAATGGCTGGACGTTATACTGAGATCATCAGCGCCCTAATACAACAAGGCTGTAATATTTGGGAGGGCTCACAACCTCAACTATACACGTATGAGAAACACACGTATAATCTGCTCTGATTGTGAGACAAAAAATCCCCAACTTATGAACCACCATCCACCTGTTCTTGCAAAAATAATTGAGAAAATACAAGTGGATGTCATTAACGTATGTGTTCTGAACAGTTTTTAATGGGGAAACTTGTTCATTACAAAGATATTTATACAATTTTTATTCATGATCCAAATCCATGAGCCAATCCGAGGATCAATTTTTTCAAATGTTATAGTTTATCATTAGAAACAGAAACGTTAGTTGTCAGGCAATATTCATGAAGTAACAAGAAACAGTGAAATGCTCTCTGCATGATGGACAACATCTATAGCACCTTCGACGTGTGCTTTGAAAGTGCATTTCATGAATCTTCTTATTTGTTAGAATTAAGTATTCATGTCATGTGTGCCCATATCTCATGAAAACCCATTTTTCAATTGCAGTCTAGATTTTTAGTTATCTTTAGTGAGTAGCTAAAAGATGCATTCTATAAAACACGACCAAACTGAGGAAACTCCGATCGATGGAAGCATTTCTATTGAGTAGTCGAAGAATGCAACTTCCCGCTTGAATGGAAAAGCCGAAAATAAGTGGCAGTTCTCAAATTCAAGGTGATTTGTTCACAAAATAAAATTTGCTTGCTTAATCCATTTCTAAGAGGCAATCTTAATTACCGACCTGCATGTACCAGTTAGTTTATTAGATGAATAACACATATTTTAGCAAAAAAGAAACACATGGAACGAAATGTACAAGAAAGGGTTACAGTGAGCGATAACACAACACATTGTCTGTGTGTACAACAGATTTTTTGAACAAAACACATCATGCAACGATCACGCATGGAATGCAAATTAGGTCTGACTTTGACTTTCGCTTAATCTTCTGATTGGTCTCAAAGGAACAGCATTGCCACCTTTTGCAAAGAGCACCTAAAATGATGGTTAAATGAGATTTGATTTAAGAAATTCTTCCGATTCATTGATCAACATGCAAATATTATAACTACTATATCAAAAAATGTGTCCTATTCAGCACTATCCAGTTCCGGTTGGCTGCTGGAGAAAAACCATTAGTGAAGAAAGCTGGAGATTAAGTTGAAGCATTGAATTTGATTAATGCAAAAAAAGACGACACTGGCGAATGGAGTGAACTGAGCGGACTGCGACTACTTAAAGGATAATATTAACCCTTGAATTACACAGAACGAATTTACTGCTCATCGAACCGTCTAAATGAACAGACAATGAAGCTGATGGTGTCAATTCATCTTAAGGTAATTGTTTCTACTGAAACTGGTACATTAACTCATTATCTATTTCTTTAATTCGACGGCTATAAAAGATACCAAACAATTTCGAATTACATCAAGAAACAGCGTTAGGAAATTACCGGGTGCACGAAGGGCAGGACACCACCTGATCGTATCGTCACTTTTGAGCACATTCGATCCAATTCCTCATCATTCTTCACAGCGAGTAGTATATGGCGTGGCACGAGACGCTTTCGCTTATTATCGCGGCAAGCATTCCCGGATAATTCGAGTATCTTAACCACGAACAACTACTCAATTTCGCTCTTCAATGAAATGATTGAAAGTTGATAGAGTTTTTATCGATCAATGCATTCTAAGTAATGTATGTCTTATGAAAGCAAGGATATTATAATTGATAACGTAATTCGCAAAAAGACGTAAAAAGTAACGCATATCGCGGGTAAATTCCACAAGTAATCCTCTTAACTCTAAAACTTTTTGGTTAATCATTTATCAATTCCATTAATTCTCAATCATTTTTCATCCTACGAAATCTAAATTTTGAAAATGAGTATTCGACTCTAAAGGATATCACTTGAGTGCAACTTGTTCGATTTATTTCAATCGTAGTATCCTGGATAATTTCCGAATACTGGTGGTTATGAAATTATTTTGGCTGTTGACTCTCCGAGGTTTTCAGAAAACCAGGAGAGCTAACGAGGAAAACGCAGAAATCAATGGATTCAATGATTATTATTCGACTGAATCAAACGTTTGTTGTCGGTTCATAACTGTACGGAACTAGAAAATATGTGTGTGTGTATAAACCTCGGCAGAAAGATATTCAACAACTGCGCTCAAATAAACTGCTGCCGACTGAGTGACTCGTTTTGCATGATGATTCTCTTTCATAAGGCGATGAAATTTGGTAACTGGAAACTGCAGGCCAGCACGAGTTGATTTGGTGATTCGTTTTGACTGGAGTGCATTCGATTTATTATTTTGCACTGAACTCGTGCTGCAACCACCAGCCGTTCCCCCGACTCCACGTCGACGTCTCTTTGCAGCACTGTTCGATGACGTATTACTACTGCCTTGTGAATTCTGATAATGCAATATTTGCAAATCGATTCTTCAGTTTTTAAAACCTCATCATAAAAACGCATTAATTGGCTAAGACCGACCTTCGATAGGCATCGCATTCAGCGATACTTCACTGTTGAAAACGGCGGCTGGAACGGGAACACTTTCAAAATGTGTTAGATTTCAGGAGAATAAATAAGGAAAGCAAATGTTGAAATTATTATTGAAAACGTACAAATTTTGGTGCATTTATCACATGACAACGGTTCAAGCGAATAAAGTTGATTGTTTACACATTTCTCTCAGAAATTTCAGTGATGGTTTTTTCACGTTTGGTTTAAGTTTTTTTCATTACTATCAATACAATTTGATCATTTATAACTGGGATGAGATAGTGTCTACGTGATAATGAATGTATTATTGTTAACGTGATAGTCCTCGAAGTAGGTGAACAGTAGAAATTAGAAGGAAAAACATAAGGATAAGATTATCAAATTTCACCAAATGGATGCAGTTCGAATTTGCAACTGATATTTTCGGTTATTACAGATTCAACTTCTCTTTAACATGAACATCGTCAAACGAAAATAAATGAACACAAGTAGTTCCCACCTTCGCCGTTTTCACAACAGTTTTCGTGTTGTCTTCCTTCTTAGCCAGAAGGTCGTCTAGAACGGCCATCTTTTGCGCTATGAAACGAAATGTCATTAACACGTTCCTTTCTTCGAGACGTACGTAATCAAGAGAGCGCAGTTAAGAGATAACAGAGGCAAGCAATTGGAGATGACTTCCAAATAATCATTAGATAACTAAACATTTGATAATAGACTATTGGTCAATTGAACAGTGAATGATTGTAAGCTGCAGAAGATGTGCCATTTGTGCTTAACACGGGAATAATTGCAACAGAACGAAACCATAAACTGATACTGTTAGTGAAGAATAATTTGCTGATACTGTTAAAATAACTTCGAGCGAGGGAGAAGACTGAAAGGTTCTAATGATATGAGTTTATATTATTGGAATAATGATGATAAAAATATCAGTAAATCTGTAGAGTATCAAAACGAGAATTTATTATCCTGACTGAACTTTATTTCGTAGTACGTACAGTTTGTGAGAGAATTTAAAATGAATCTAGTAATTTCTAGTGAAAGAACCCTTCATTAAGACCCTCAAAAACTACTTTGCAACTGATGAAAACATACGTCCTTTTCTTAAGTGATTTCAGTTGAGCTCTCTCACAATCCTGGCATTACGGTCATGTTATCATCTTAATGATCTTCCGATTATTTCATGGAGATAATGAAATGCTTGAAGACGGCTATTATAATGCTTGACGAGCCGAAATCTTAAATGCTTGAAGCTGAGAAATCAATTGCTCTGAGCGGTGCAGCTTCAGTAAACCAGACCGTATTCAATAGTTGTTTCGTAAAAAGATGACCCTTAACGACATATTCTAATGAATACACGTCTCATCTATCTTTCACATGTATTTTTTGTTATCTCTACGTATCTCATTACTTCGACAGATTTCGACTATCTTTAATCTTGTCGATGAACTCGCTTCAATATCTCAGTTCTCTCATATACTCACTTTTCGCCAACGTGATGCTCATCAACGTTTAAAGATTAAGCATATGTATAAAATAGTCTCCTTCAACTTAATGTATAAAAATTTGATGTTTCTGAAGGAAGAAATTTGTCATTAATCATTATTTTTAAAAGTGTATGAAGAGAAAATTATCCATTGATCTTTATGTTTCCTTTGAACCATGCATATATTTACTTGTATATGATTAGAAGAATTTAGTACGATTTCAATGCAATCAATAGTCTGAATTCAGCTCCCTAATGACACATACTTAGAGCATAAAAGGGTTCATTTGATGAAAGATTAAACTAGCTTACTTCTTTTGAAGGAAATTTTCTCCAGTTAAATCGTTGTTCCTGTATCAAAATGAAGTAACGGCGCAGTAACAAGAAAATTTGAATGACTGAATTGATTCATTCGACAAAGCGTGAGAATAACCTATCATAAAAACCAAAAAAACAGAAATAAATTCAGTTTCGAAGTTAATCCTCATAAAATCTTCTCTTAATGAGCATCCAACCGGACAAAAGCATTTCATAACATTTCACCATCTATAATGTTATATCGATTCATTTGTTAAGCACTGAAATGCTTCTTTCCGTACTGATGTAATATTGATTCATCGCTCAGTAGCAAATGCAATTCCCATTAATAGTGAGGCTGAGATTCGATGAGAGAATGTATCAAGAAAGCCGAATAAAATCATGATGTTATATGATGATCATTAGCGTGTAATTAGGAATTGAACACTGAGTTAGTGAAATGTGAAATACATCACGTGATATATATTTATGAAGTTCTCTTGTTAAATGTAACAAAGAATTGATGAAGAAACGAGGTGAGCTATTATGTAACCGATCAAATATTAAAAACGCAACAAGACGTGACAATCGAAGAGAACAGTAAAACTTCTCAAACAACTCAACTTCAAATACTACGATTCAAAAATGCTTTTCATCTCAGTCTCGTTACTACTAAACATGAAGTGAAGCATCGTAGATCGCTTGTTATACGTAACGATCGTTGGCATTTTCCGAAGAGAAGAAGTTTACATAAGAATATGGAAAATAGTAAAATGTTCAGTGGAAAAGATGGAAGAGAAATGAAAAGTATATTTTTTGGTGTATTAAATATGTTGTTATGTGCTGGTGGTCGCATATCGATGTTGAAACAGAGTGAAATAGAGAGAAGGACGTGATGATAAGATAATATGGATTTTTGTGTGGTAAATTAACGAACACTCATTGAATGCATCATGCAACGAAATTGTCTTTGATTATCGCACATTAGTCAACAACAGATCCACAAGAAAAAAACTTCTTTTATGGAAGTTTTCTTTTTGACACCACACTAACGATAAGTATGACTTCATGAGAACGATTGCCCTATGTACGTTTTCAGTTAAACGCTATCACTGCCTTTGAATTTTTTATAGATTAGGTTACGCATAGGTGATTTGATCAGTGTGGTAACAAAGGCAGTTGTGATAACGTTCGAAGAAGGTGTTAATTGCGATCATATTTGAATAATGACAATAGAAATGACAACCATACCAATACAGAAGGGCGTTGCACAAGGTGACACTATTTCTCCACAACTGTTTTCAGGTTATCTCAAAATGATGATACGAGGAACGAAGTGGACGAAAGACATTTGAATTAGATTTTTTGTCGTTTTAATCGATTGTATCGTTCTTATACAATAATGCTCATGAAATGACAAAGTCGCAAAGCGATAACGAGCAACTAATAATGAATTTTATAATTGCTTTATTAGCAAATTTTCCTCTTCAGTGATAGCGACAAAGCGATAGAGCGGTTCGCCTTTATTTCGGGTGTATAACGACAAATTGTGACAAATGCCGACAAAATTTTGAACGGAGAGACTCACTAGTTCCACAAACTTTCAATGCAAATTCGTGAAGAAGGTAAAACATCATTAGTTCAAACCAAAACTTTTGCGAATCGCTAGTCATAAAGGAGACCAAGATGTAACCAAAAAATTGAGATGGACTGGCCATGTATATTGCAGACAAGACAACAGATGCGGTACAAAAATGTTGTGTTTTGCATGAAAGAATATATATAAAGAACCACTGGGAAGAATGGGAAGATGCGTTGGTCAAGAAAATGGGAAGAAGCAAGGAGAGTATGATTGAAAACGGATGAATAAGTCTCAATATGACATTTTGCTACGCCTAAATCAGAATGAACGAAATGAGAAAAATGATGAAGAAACAATTCGAAAGTGTTCGAGATACGTGATTACATCAATATTTGAATACGTCAAAAGAGACGAATTAGTGCACAGGAGATATCTATCCGCTAAGCTTTTTCACTCTCTAACATCCGACAATTTTGCGGCACTTTTTAACGATATTACTGGAAATTTCGATGCACTCTCAATTGAAATTTGATAAAAATTAAACGAATTTATCGCAAAATTTAAAGCTGTTATCAGATAAACTTATGACTTTTGAAAATCGATCTGAAAATGAGAAAAAAAAAGTTTATCTTTCGAAGCGAGAATGAAGAGGTGGGGAATAGTTTTTTGTGTTTGGTTTCGATTAGCATATTCAATCATAATGTATATACATTTGATGTCTTACGCATCACAGTTAATCACATATCAAGGTCAATGAAATTTATGTTTAAGTCGATTACTCACTCACAATCAGTTCCTAGCATTTTAGCAGAGTTGGCCAATAGCGCACTATTCGCAACATTTCGCTAACCAGCAAAAGTTAGCGAAAGTAGTGCTCTATTGCCATTTCTGGATTTTAGCATACTTTTCTGTCTGAAGCAGTTCTTTGCCGGGATCGGGAAATTTTGAGGATCACATCCCCGACTTTTCTTGACCTGACCTCATTTTCGGGGTCACCGACTGGAAAATTTCGTCACCGGTTTTCCCCGTCCCCGACTTTTCCAGAATAGTCTGGGATCTCCGTTCCCCGAAAATTTTCGGGAAATTCGCAGATTTTCCTCGCGAATTGATACCATCGGATCAAAGCATCAAAAACGTGAATTCGAAGCAACTTCATCATCAATGTTCGCATCCCCCATATGTGAACTGTATGAATTTTGCAGTTTAACTGTTTGGAATGCTGTGGTTGCGTTATCTGTTGCTGTATGCTGCAGTTGGGGGATGGCTGTGTAGCGATGTCTCAACTGCAAACCAAAAGGGGAAGTTGATAGCGTCGTGTGGAAGTATTTTCGTATATCTGAAGAAACTGAAAAAAGGGTTAAGTATGTTTGTATGACATGTGGAAAGGACTTCGTGTTGAAACAATCATCAACAAAAGGGTTTCTCGACCACCGGAATTAGAATTAGGGTTTGCAAAATCTCGACCATTTTCTCAATCCTGAGATCGAGATTTGATCCCGGGACGACCCAGGGATTGAAAAGCAACTTTTAAAATGTGGGAGTGGGACATGTTCAACACATTGCCTTAGAACCCATTTGTTCAAAATTAATCAGAAGACAGTTTATTCAATAAATCATCCAACGAAACTTAACAAATTCAATTAATTCAACAAAACAAAACAATTGAAAGGAACTCTTAATGACATGAACGATCATTGTGACGAAAAAAGTAGAATTAAGACTGTCACAACAACGACAGATTTAAAAAATAAAATTCAGTGCGACTTGAGATCAGCTCTCAGAAAATTAGCAAGTATTAAAACAATTGAAACAAAATCGTAATAAAATTAAGTACGCTGAATTTCTCACTATTCAGTAGCGAATCCTTTATCTCTTGAATAACGTTTGGTTTTGCAGTTTTATAACAATCCATTAATAAATTTTTGGCAGTATTTGCAGAACAGGGTAGCAAAGTTTTATTTGATTGAAAAAGCCTGTAAAGGTTTTCAATTATCACAAGAGCATTAAAGCTTAAACCATAAACACAGCAAAGCTTGGCGATCATTTCATTAAATGAATCAGTAGTTGGTGTAGGATTAGATTTGAGGAATTTGTTAATAGGCGGGCCTCTTGTGGACTCCGGGACATTTGTTTCGTTGCGCAACATTTTGTTGTGATTTGTCCTTAAATGCATAACATGTCCCTTCATGGACGATCCTTTTGCTTTTTTTTATTTCATCGTGTAATTTACATTTCACAGTTTCAATGAATTTTTTGAAAATTGAATATTCCCAGCACTAAGAATGACCACTGCTACCGTCATGTCTTTTAATAAGTCCGGACGAAATGTATTCGAACTTGAACTATGTCTTGAAATATGGAATTAACGGACATTCCATGAACTATCTTTTCATTGCCTTTTAGATGGTAAGCAACAATATGAGCGCATATGAGTGAGCTGAGAATGATTCATACTTCATTCATGATGAGCGTACCACCAAATTCATACTAGTTCACTTGTGTTATGAATCCAGAAAATCCCATGAATCCCGGAAACATGAATCCCAGGATCGTGATCAAAATTCATAAGTCGGGATTCGGAATTCTCGGGATCCTGTACAAACACTAATTAGAACTGATTTTACCAATGGAATCGTAGAAATGAATACGAAGGAGGATATCAGGCAGATGCACGCTTTCACAAAGACGTGTCGTGTCTTATTACGATGAACAATAAAATGTTCACTTAGATGACCCTCCAATCACCTTCCATAGTCCTGAAATTCACAGAGCAATGATTCAATGAAGTTCTACATGAACCAACTTGCGATCTTAATCGAGTTGCGCAATAACACATAATGTGCTCGCGTAGATGAGTGTAGAATGTTTTCTCTTTTCGTTATTGTTTTTATCAAAGAAGTTTTGGTGTTGTACTCTATTTTCTCATGTGCTTAAATAAAATATAGTTGATAGGACGACTGCATTGTGGCTTCGCAGTTATCGCTGTTCTAACCTAAAGATTGCTTGCTTCAATGCTTTTCCATCAATAAATCCTGTTTTCAAGGTCCTACTGACTCCAGTTTAAAAGTTCCAGTTTCGGGGAGATTCGGTAATCGGAGACGAAGTGGAGTTTTTTCCCCGAAATTCTCTATCCCCGCAACACACTAGTCTAACATACTGTATGCTGGATAGCCTGGAAGTCGAGAATAAATGTAATAATTCTGAGAAATGCCATAAATGAGATACCATTGTGACATTAAAGTGCATTCTATTTAAGCACACTTCCGCGTTTTTAATTTTTGCAATGAAATTGCAGTTTTAATGAAGATTTAGAAAGCGATAATACCCACTATACGAGTTGAAGATTTATGCATTCAAATTCATATATCATCAGGTATGTATTGGGTGCACGTTGAGATGTCACAAAACAACAAACTTGAACGATATTTCAATATCTCAAAGAATATTATAACATCAATTTGATGTAAACAGTTGCAGTTGGATGTTTCGATAGTTTCACATGGTAACTGGGAGAACTGCCTTTGGATTCGAAAGATTTCCACCGTGCATTCGCATATGCGCCTTGAGGTCATCTCGACTGGAACAAAATATTCATATCTCGCTCAGATCTTATTTCCAGTTCAGTGAAAAATTTAATGCCGAAAAAGTGAGAAATTAGATTTTTTTGCAAATATTACGAGCTGAGATGAAACTACATGATTCATTCTTACATTCTCTTACTATTATAAATGAACGATTCGGAATGAAATCAAAAAACATTCGAACGAGCTGAGGTGAACTTGGAAAAGTTCCAATCAAATTTACATTTGAAACAAATTAGGAATATCAGAAAAAGAAATTAAGTGAATTGGAGTAATACCTGTGAAATTTTAGGTCACAGATTTGACAAGTGAAATCCTTTTCGGAGAAATGTTTGCGTCGATGCGTTTCCAATCGAGCACTTGATGAAAACGACAACGTGCACAGATCGCACCGATATGCTTTCGACGAATGAACATGTGAATGCCCTTGAAGCGCACTTTCAGATCCGAACATCTTAAAATGATTTAGGCATTTTCAAAGACTTATATATGGTTTAAGATCGGTCGGAACACGAAGAGACAGTTGTTAAAAAATTGCTCGAGCGCCAAGCGATATAATTATGCCAATAAGACCTATCGCGTTTTTGAAAAAAAATAGTGAGAATTTCGATTTTTTATGAATACACACATACCTTGGGACAAAATGGGCATTGATAGGAAGGCGAAGTTGCATTTGTGATGGTGTGTTGTCCTAGAGGCGAATAAGCGTCTCGGAATGTGCTAAAATAGAAATCCATTAGTTCCACAACCGTTTGCTTGAATATAATAAGATTACGATCATAATTAATGCCACTAACTGTTGAGCACTGTCAGTCGAAAATAAGAAGTGGTTTTGAACTATCATTTAGATTAATTTTTTTGCAAAAAACTTTAGGATGATTGTTTCAATCGTAATTTCACCAGCTGCAAGTGCATCACAAGCGTTATCGAACTCCAATAACAAAATACCGATTTCTGTGAAGATCATTAGCTTCTACTCATCGATAAGAAACAATGGTGATTTCGAACAGACGTGAAAGGAGAATTTGTCAGTCAGCACATGAATGCAGCTGTTCTCATAGCTGTACAATAATCTATGAGTGATAGTTATCGATCGTAACTGAAATGAAAGAAAAACCTGAGGATTCGTTCTGTGAGGAAGATAGCAGGTGGAGTGTCGTATCGTGTGCGTATGCATTTGTGTTGTTGGAATTCAGTGACGAAATGAAATGCATGGTGGCACGACTGACATGTGAATATGGGACGTGCATCTGAGTGCGCTGTACTTACGTGATTCATAAGTGCTTGCAAAGATGAAAATGCTTTCGCACAATATGGACAATCTGCATTCTTGGAATGTTCACTGGCGTGAAGTCGTAATGCTTCGCTTGATGAGAATACCTTAAATTTCCTTATCAACCAACACCAAACAGCTTCAAAACTCTTTATTTTTGCCATGGAAAAATCAGCTAAATTTCCTCCGGTCATCTTCACTAGTCATAGTTGAAAAGGAAGGCGTTCATACAAAGTCGACTAGTAAAATTCATCTCAACTGCTCATTCAACTGTCACGGGAAAATTACGATTTTTTGCTGAAACGAAAGCCTCAGGTGTGATCGAACCTTGGTTATACCATGGCTGGGGGTTTGAATCCAGTCATAATACTACAGTTAAGCAGCTCATGGCTGTATTTAAATCCCAACTTTTGCATGAAAAGTTCTCCCAAAAATGGAACCATTAAAACGAATGAATTTACTGGTCCGTCTTGGTCAAACACAGTGAATACTCGAATGAGCAGAATAACAATAATACCTGATTACAAACAGTGCAACGTGATTCATTATCGGATTCGTTTTTCATTAATATTGATGAAGTTCTGCTCGGAATGGCCGTATCAGCTAAATGAAAATTAGCATGTGAGTGTATCTGGGCTTCATTCCTTAACGCCTGCCGACAAACCACACATGTAACGTTTTGTTCGTTGATTGTATGCAAACGAATGTGTTCAAGGAACTGTGCAATCGACGTAATTTCCACCTGACATTCAGCACATCGGTCTGCTCGAGGTATCTTCAAACAATGACATCTTTAAGCATATGAATCACACTGAAATTGCGGTTGTGAATTGATCTATCATTCTTAGGGGTTGTTTTGGTGCCACACTGACTCGTTTTAACTTGAGCTCATTTGGAATAATGTCAGAGCTGATGTGGAAAAAAAAACAACTACATCTTTCAAACCAAAATGAAGCAACCTTGCAGTGAACATTAAGTCGATGAAAATCAAGATCGTCCTCGCTCTCGAATCGGATATCACATACAGAACATTTCACTGAGCGACATTCACTCTGCAAAACTTTCTTTTTTTGGCCGGATTCTTGCTGAGAAAAGCACAATGAAGATTTTCAATTGCTGATAAAATGACGAGGGCAAGTTCAACAAGTACATCGTCAAGATGACATAATTTGACAAGTCACATATCAATGATAAGCATACTCACGGTAGCTGGTGGCGTATGAGTTGCTTCAGTGCTCTGTTGTGTGACAATTTCAGTAGTTGAGGTGACCGTTGCGACGGAAAGGCACTGAAGTTGCTGTGTTGACTGTTGTCGGTCATGAATCAATTGAACATGAACTTTTAACAGGTCATGTGTATCGAATGGTGTATTACAAGCAACACAATGATATCGCATTATTTCTTCATTGTGCACGCTTAAGTGATCCTGAAAATTGTGATTTGTTATACTTAAAAAATATCAGTTTCTAACTGAGTATCCAGTTATTTAGTTGCCTAGATCTGAACGAGTTACATGCATTGCAGTGTAAAAATATGGTTACGTTCGAATTACGACAAAAAACTTTCGTCGTAAGTTGAATAATATGATGAAAGCATAATATTTGCTTAATTTTTTAATAAGCATGTTCATCGGAGCATGTTTCACTTTCTATCTGCTGATCAGTTCATCGTAACAATTTTATTTTCAGGTTTTGAGTGCAATTTTATTCAAATCAGCAGCAGTACGATTCTATTCCAATGAAACTCAAATTAACACTTTTTTGAGCACACAAGGAGTTTTGTTGTTTTCTGATAATGGCTTAAATAAAACTATCGACCTCATATTTGCTTTTTTTTAAATCTGATATTTACATGTGGTTTATAGTTTTCGATTTCAAATATTTTAGAGCGATATTCTTTTACAAATTCGATGTGAGCGATCACTTATTACCGAAAATTTTTCTTCATCTGAAATATTTACGGCTTTTTGTAGAAAAAAGCTTTCAATTCTAGAGTTTTTTCTTCCGAGTCACGATACTACTAGGAATATTGCCAGTTTTCTTTCTCACTTTCAGCTTCTATTCTCGCTTCCAATTTTCTACGAACAGTTCATTAGAACTAAACGGAACTTGATATTGAAACTGATGGCTGATAACTGAATAGTGTAGCATCGTGAAGATATTGGAGGATAACAAAGCTAAGTTAATTTTGAAATCTTTTAAAGAAGTTTCCGCAATAATAAGTACTAAAAGTAGTTACACTGGAGGTAATCCTGATAGAAAGAATGGAAAGCATTAAGAGATATTCAGACCTAATATTAAAGGCAAGTACGGTTATTGTTGGAATTAGAAGCAAAATATCCATCAAAAACACCTCAGCTAATCAATTAAATGCGGACTCGTCGATAAATGGCATGAAAATTAATGATACCATTTGAATTGTCGATTAAATTATCACTCACAAGAGAATATACCAACTTGGAAACGATTCTGTGTGTGGAAAATTTTCTGGCAAATGGCACATCGATAAAGAATCTCCAAATGTGTGTCCAAATGATGTTGACGTATCTGGTGAGCACTAAAGAAGACTGAAGATGGGCATTCTTTGCATATAATTCGAGTGCTGTTTCCCGTGAAATGTTCAACCATATGCGTTAGTCTCCGCTGAAATATATTGATCGCATGAAACTAAATTTTCTTACAAGTGACATTCCAAAAAATATATTCAAAGAAGACAAAGTCTAGTACTGTTATTTCATCACTGCGTGAATATTTGATTGCAGGACAACATAATGCGCAACTTAGATGCTCTGATAACAAACAAGTTATGTTGATAAGTGAAGTGAAATTATTTCTACTGTAATTATAAAAGATATGTACGGGCGAATGAGAGAAGAAACAAAATAGGAAACATCCGCCCAGAAAATCGAAAAAATCGCATAATACAAAACAATTAGAAGCATACAAATCAAGTCATTTGGACTTGACCCATTACTTATATATGATGTCATTATTTCAAGGGGATCACTGTTGAGATGGTGTGCTGCATGTTAAGGGATGCGCATGGCCATTTCCATTTTTTTTCTCTGAATTTCAGTTTTTTTCTTTCACAAGTGAATATAGCTGAATTGATAATAACAACAAAGTGATCATTTCATCTCAGAAATGAGTAGTCTGATCCACCTGGGAATTGTTGAAGCTAATATTGCATAAGTGACATTTTTGCTCATGCTCGCTAGTTAAATGCGTTCGCATATGCTGACCAAATGCAGCGAAACTCGATAACGTCGCATCGCATTGTTGACATACAAATGAAACATCTTCAGCCGTATTCTGCAAATACTTTTTTTTTTGTTTTACAACACTTTTGCGACTTCAGTTTCACATTTCTCGTACATCATAACCCTAACAAGTGTAAATGAACCGCTCACTCAATAACTCAACGGTGTTCTTCTACCAATTTTTAAATCGTTCCCACGTTGACTTTTTCCTAATGTCTGTCGCCAACTTGCAGTCAAACGCATTCTCATAAAAAATCAGAAAACGAATGAGAATTTTCGAGAAATTTCTCGAAGCATTAGATCAAAGGAAAAATGACTGTTTAAATGATCAATGGTAATACATACCCCGTTTTGTAGGAGTAATCCATTCGTTGATGCACAATTATCGTTATCTGTTTTTGAACTCAGATTCTACAAATGAAACTCATATGATAGAACATTGATAAGTGAGAGCAGTAGAGAATTGAAGCTGTCAGTTCATTTGACGTAATATCATTTCGCCATTACATATAACCTCATTAAAACGCAGCAATGCGATGAATTTATTCGAAATATTTCATCTCTTTCAATAACCTATCTATTCTCCCCGTTCCATATTCATTCATACATCAACTGCATTGTAAAATTCACAAATATAATACGCAAAAGGCAGGTAAGTTAATTGGTTAATTTTTGGTACCTTAAGATGTACTCTAGTCTATCTTATATTACTCTCAGTAAAATTGATGCTTTGGATCTGAACCATCAATGAACAATGCTTTTAAATGACGAAAAAAATAGATAGAGATTATTGACGATGAGAACTACCACTTAAAAGGAATCCAAACCGAAGAAAAGCACGGAACTAATCATAGACGATTCAAGAAGCGTATTTTTGATTTATACTGAAAGGCATATCCAGCGGCTACGTTACTCCTACTGCAGAAAGAAAACGCAATTATTTTTGATGTTATGGGTTAAGCCTACAGATTCAAATTCAATGACAAATTCGAATATTTTGGTTGATAGAATTCGATGAAGAGAGGTGAATTAAATGACTAACTATAAAAGAATTTAATAATCGGGATAACACATTTCTGATGAATGTCAACTTATATCTCTCAATAAATACTTCAAAGTCTTTCCGACTCAAAAATTTGTGAAATTAAAGACGGCAAACGCACTCACAATGAGACAAGCATTGAAAGTTATATTGACCAGCTATATACAACTGAACGAGCAGTCTCTAATTGAATTTATGAATAATTGATTGCTACTCATGAATTGGATGAATACGTTAAATATAAATAAAATTTGAAACTTTTTAAAAATCAGCTACTGTTCATATATTACTTATCAGTACTGCCTTCATAAAATTATGAAATTCTCACACTCATTTGTTCAATAACTTTTGAAGCCTACACAACTGAAATTACTAAATTTTCCTGCTGAGTTCAGATTGATATTAGTTTTCGTTGAGTGAAAAGTGTTGGTAAAGCTAAATGGCATTAGCTGTATCAGCATAATAAATAACAAGTTGATAGAATGATGAAATGTTGGTCGTTAATAAGCAAAAAGCTGAATATTCTACCATGTGGTCGCCAATTGTGTGATTCTGCAATGAACACACATCTGGGAACATTTTTTCACAGAAGATACATGGTATCGTAGCGTCTCCTAAAGCGGTCGATTTAATTGATGGTTGAAATTGAACGAAATGATCTGAAGGGAATCGTGAAACCGATTCCTGACCGCTTACATCAGTGGCTTTATCCAGTTCCAATTTGCTAAATAAAAGGCAATTGTTTCATAGCACAACAATGATACTGATGTGAGTAAAAAAGCGATCAGTTACAATGTTTAAGAACAAAATCGACTCACATTCTTTTTTCAGTCGATCCATCATTACTAACTGAACACTGATGTGAATTTTGTGAATCGTTGTCAGTAACTTCCTCATCTAAAAGGAATAACTAATTGGTTCTAACTATATCATATATGCTTGCAAATTGATATTTTGACGTCGCTTTCACTTTAATTGCATTTTTTGACAACACTGAAAGAATAAAATTTCATTGATAATATTCAGAAAGTTCGTTACAAAATTTGCTTCATTTGCAATGAATTATATCGGCTTTCAGTGAAGATGACATTGAAATAAAAGTGCTGAACTATTCCCTGGTTACGATTGCTGTGCAGTATGGATGGTCGTTAATGAATTATGTAAGACTGACTATATATTCAATTCAGAACTGTTCCTAAAGAATAAAGTGAAGTATCAAAATTCGAAACGAAGACTAATGTTTCAGATTAAATACGAAATGCCTACCTTTCAACGATTTCGGTTTGAGTTGTTTCCTTCTGGTTGACATTCAAACAAGAGAAGTAATCGTTGCAAACAAATTCAACTCGGTCCAATAGAGATGAAGCGTACGAGTTTCAATCAAGCCGAATGCAAGTACTGAAGGGAATGTGCACGCCTGTGCGCTTAGGCGAACATCCCAAGGGAATTAACCGTACAAGCCATCCAGAAGGCGGCGCTTTCTATACGGGGCTTTTCTCCCCGGGGAATCGCTCTCCCTTGATTAGTTTCCCCACTGTTTTCGCAGCGTACAATTTCATCTGCTTGTTTGTGTGTCAAATATTCTTCTTTACACAATCTTTAACTCTCTGGTTCATACTTCTTGCTTCGAATAATTTTCCTGTTCCTCATTGAGAAACACTATTTCGCACAGCATAGCACGAAATGAAGCCTCATTTCCAAGCCTATAAGTAGACTTTATTGCCGTTGCCGATGCAATTGTGGTACCCACACCCGCACTTCTCATCACCTTAAATGAACGCATAATTCCCCTCGAAACTCACATTTTCACACAAAGCCCATCATCTCTTCTCATTCCTTCAATTCCTAAACTAATACTCCTCAAACTATTGGTTTCGATACTTGTTCAACAGTAGCATTCAAATATCTCGTTCAGACAACTATGGATACACCTTTAAGCAAATATTCTTTGTATAATTTAACCACATCAAGCAATTAGTCAGTGGTAAAAAGCACGATTCATTTCGTTAAATTCATCGTTCTTATTTGCTCATAAGCACCCTTTAAATTCACTGTGAATATTATACAATAAATTTTCATTCTGAATAATTTCTCACTATATTCTTGACCAATCGATGCTGTTGGACAGATGGAGAGGATGGTCTTTCGATAAATCGATGTGCAGTTATAATCAGTCTAAAGCGCTTATCGTCAAAAGTGATCTTACAGTACTGCAATTCAATAGTTTTTTCAGTGCACTATTCTAGCAATTAACTTGATTCAGCCTTATGAACGTAACTCTCAATTACACACTCAATCACTCACTGAGTAAACAATCACAAACAATTACTGATAATGGTACACAAGAGCTGATCAGCAGCCAACAAATACGCTAATGACTTCATAAACAACAATACCGATGGCATCTGTAAATATTAGCAATAAGACGAAATAATAGTGATAACAATAGTGATAATAATAATTGTGATAATAATAATTGTGATAATAATAATAGTGATAATAATAACAGTGATAATAATAATAGTGATAATAATAATAATAGTAATAATAATAATAATAATAATAATAATAATAATAATAATAATAATA